CCACAGGCTGGCGCTGTGTCCCAAGCGGGGCGGGTCGTGGTGGGTCCCTGACGGCAAAGCGGCGGTCAAGATCTTTGATTCCGGGGGAGGATCCGCGCACCAGTTTGGAAGAAAGGGGGACCCCGCCCCAGGACATTTAAGTACCCCCTCGATGTCACCGTCACCAACGACTGCCACGTGGTTGTCACCGATGCCGGCGACCGCTCCATCAAAGTGTTCGATTTTTTTGGCCAGATCAGGCTTGTCGTCGGAGGCCAGTTCTCCTTGCCTTGGGGTGTGGAGACCACCCCTCAGAATAGGGTCGTGGTAACTGACGCGGAGGCAGGGTCCCTGCACCTCCTGGAGGTGGACTTTCCAGAAGGGGTCCTCCGGCGAACGGAGAGGTTGCAAGCGCATCTGTGCGGTCCCCGAGGGGTGGCGGTGTCCTGGCTCACAGGGGCCATTGCGGTCCTAGAGCGCCCCCTGGCGCTGGGGGCCGGGACCTGCAGCACCACGGTGAAGGTGTTCAGCGCCACCATGCAGCTCATTGGCCAGGTGGACACCTTCGGGCTGAGCCTCTTCTTCCCCTCGGAAATCACGGCCTCCGCTGTGACCTTCGATCACCAGGGGAATGTGATCGTCGCCGATACGTCCAGTCACGCTGTCCTGTGCTTAGGAAAACCCGAGGAGTTTCCCGTACCGAAGCCCGTCATCACCCACGGGCTTTCCCATCCTGTGGCACTGACCTTCACCAAGGAGAATTCTCTTCTTGTGCTGGACAGTGCCGCCCATTCTGTAAAAGTCTATAAGGTTGACTGGGGATGATGGGCGTGGTGAGGATTCTGGGGCTTGGAACCAGAAGCCCTGGAGCTGCCATTAATGAATTGTTTAGCCCTGGATACATTATTTAGTCTCATCTATCCAATAGGGATCATTATAACCCCTGGCAGACTTACAGAGGGTGAGGCAATTATTAAAGAATATTAATGAAATCTACCATTTATTGGATATGTACTTCATGTGCTAAGAATTGTTTTAAAATATTAGCTCATTTGATCCTTAACAGCTACCCATAAGGTAATTTATATTATGAATCCCGGTTTAGAGATGAGAAAACTGAGACCCAGAGAGCTGAAGCGACTTACCCAAAGTCACACTTACTTACTGTGACAATCACCATTGGAACGCAATTCTGACTCCCAAACACTGTCTCTTAAATAAAATAACATATGTGGGGGGAAATATATGTGAATGTATATTGTTGCTATGTGTACGCTATTTACAAGTAGTCATTTATTTTAGTTGGATGCACAGAGGAGACTTTACAGAGAATTCAGAAAGACGGTTTTGTGGTGGGCATCAGTGAGCTCAACTTGCAACTCGCCTGATGCAATACTGGGTGGAGTTGCTGTGGGTCCTGAGTTACTTGACTGAGAAAAACAATTGAACTGCTTATTCAGAAGGTAAATGTGTCTTCTGGCAACTGTATCTCCCCCACTGTTTAGGCATCAGGAAAGATTACCTAGACTTGGTTGAGGAAGGCCTGTTTTGGTGTATGTTCTGAACTACTATAGAACACACTATATTTATACAAGTGTTAGAGGGCTGGATGATACTCCTGTTACATGTTTATATTAATACAGAGATAAGTCACCACAATTAGTTCGTGGTAAAAATGATTTTGCCGGGCTTTTTATAATCAATAGTAACCGAAAGCACTTTTGTGATGGGGTGTTTGTGCAATTTAAATTTGCCCCATGTATTGCAAACACTGTATACTCAAGAAATACTTCTCTTGATTCTAAGTCAGCATTTAAGTCACTGGTAAACACTGAAATCTTTCTTGAGTCAAAATATAGCCTTGACCAAGATAACACTTGCTTCATGTTGTGATTGATTCAATGAATGAAAATTTCAGGTGAAGTAGCCAGTTCTTTCTTTGTGTGTTTTTAGCTGGATGCACAGAGATGTGTGTAAGCACCTCAGAGTTTAGTGCTGTTGGAATAGTACCGAATAACTGGCACCTCACAAGCAGCACAACATTTTCCTCAGGGAGGAAATACTGGTTTTGAAAGGTGAATGTTTGCTTCAGATAATAGCTGATGCTTTATCAACTACAGGATTCTATTATACTAAGGATTTAGTAGACATAATGTACACACTAGAGACAGTCCCAAAATTATGAGTAAAATACGTTTCAAGATTTTAAGTTTGTTCTTTGGAGCTAAAAGAGCCTGTTTCTATGCCAGTCCACAAAAACCCATTTTGCTTCTGTGTTCTTATCAAATAGCACTAACAATAAGATTTCAGACACTCTGGAGCGCATTTGTCAGTGCATTCCAAATAAGGATTCCGGGGACAACCCCACCCATGGAAGTCATCCTTAGGTCAGTGACTTCATAGGTAACAAGAAAAGTCTCAGGTGGAGATACATGTTCAAACTTGTTCATTTGCAAGTAGGGCTACTGTGGCTTGATCTTTAAAAAGTTTTCCTTATGCCCTAGCTGGTTTTGTTCAGTGGTTAGAACGTTGGACTGAAGGGTCACGGGTTTGATTCTGGTCAAGAGAACATGCCTCTGTTGCAAGCTCAATTCCTGCCCCCAGTCAGGGTGTGTGCAGGAGGCAACCAATCGATGTATCTATCTTGTATCAATGTTTCTCTCTCTGTGTCTCTCCCCCTCCTTTCCACGCTCTCTGTAAATCATTGGAAAAAATATCCTTGAGTGAGCATAAATAACAACAAAGTTTTCCAAACAGTTTTCCTTAGGAATAATGACATTTTAATGGCCTTTGAGTTGAGTCAGTTCAAGGGATTTTCTCTTGTTTGGGATCATCTTTGGCTATGGTGCTGTGTATATGTCTTTTTCAGACAGTACTCGGAGAGAAGATGTGGAACATGTCACACATGTGGAGATATGTGATCAAGGTATTGCTTGTTTCATGTGGATTACCTCACCAGAAGAATGAGGTGTGAGTCCCTGAGATGATGTGAGAGAAAATCGGAGAGGTGATAACAAGCAACCTTGTTAACTGCTACCTCTCTTTGGGAGTGGGTGAGGCAGGATATACAACATAAACAGATAGCAGCTCTTCCCAGGAATGGCATAACAGGGTGTGTGTTTGGGTGGGGGGTGGGGGAGGCAGGGTTTCCCTGGGAAAGATGCAAAGCTGGCTGTTTTTGATCTCCTGAGAGGCAGGAAGAGATCATTACAGTGAAAAGTTAAAGGTTTCAAGGTGATAGAGGAGAGCCCAGCCGGTGTGGGTCAGTGATTGAGCATGGACCTATGAACCAGGAGCTCACAGTTCAATTCCTCTGACAGGACATATGTCTGGGTTTTAGCTTCCATCCCCAGTAGGGGATGTGCAGGAGGCAGCTGATCAATGATTCTTTCTCATCATCAATGTCTCTCTCTCACTCTCTCTCTCTCTCTCTCCCTCCCTCTCTGAAATCAATAAAAATGTATTTTTTTAAAAAGATGAAGGAGGAAAGTTGGAATAACCCTCCAGAGACAGGAGATAAAAGGATGTGACCAAGAGTAAATGGAGAAGAAGAAAGTCTCTTTCTGAATGTGTCCCTCAATCATGTGCCTTTAGGCCAACGCTCCCCACCGTGTACCATCTGTTGAGTCCATAAAAGCAAGAGCAGTCCCATCTCAGTAGTCCTCACTTTCCCTTCCATCTGTTCCAGCTTTGCCCAATTCCTGATCCTTGGATTGTCTCCTGTTTTCACCCTTGTTCTGCCTTCTGGATTAGCCACCTGGACTTAGTTTTCTCAATTTTTCTCTCTCGATATTTTCTGAGGACTTTGGTTCATTTTCATAAATCTCCCCTCTGGCAAGTCTCACCCAGGACGCAATGATTACCATTTGGCAAGGGCCTTATCTAGATCTTTCCTGACTCCTCATTAAGTGGTGTGCAACCCATCCGAAGTGAATAATATACCTTTTGAGGAACAAGCAGAACATGCCATGCATCTCAGAAAAATGAAGAACCACTGATGATGGCTGATTTAATCATCCCTATACCTGCCACAGAAAGAAGAGGTCTATATTGGAGGTTAGTGCTTTACTCATGGTGATACACTATGATGGTGTATCATGGTTAGTAAGGAGATGACTGCTTTCTTGAAGAGTAAGTAGAAAATATGACAGGGAGGCTTCAAACGCTCACCACCACTATCACACTGAACAGTCATGGAGTCTGCTGAGCCCACAGCTACTTCTGAGGAAAACTGTACCCCTCCCACAGGCCTGCTGACCAGCCTGCCCTCAGGCACCATGTTTTCTATTACATGGTCCCCTCTAGCAATAGCTGATTGGATAGGGGTACACGCCTAACTAAATAACAGCCTACTCATCAATGTCCCATCAAAGGTATGAATTAGACCAGGACTGGCCTACCCATTGGCCTGGGGCAAACAGGTTTTCCCAGAAAGCAGCAAGGAGATTGAAACACAGTCATGGGCCGCTTACTGACGGGTATCCATTCTAAGAAATGCACTGGTAGGCAATTCCGTCGTTGTGCGTACATCATAGAGTGACTTACACAAACCTAGATGGTGCCGCCTACTACTGCAATTGTATGTGCTATACTTTTACATGACTGGCAGCACAGTAGGTTTGCTTACACCAGCATCACCACAGACATGTGAAGAATGTGTTGCGCTGTGATGTTATGACAGTTATGACATCACTAAGCGATAGGAATTCTCTAGTTTCATTATAATCTTATGGGACTCCCGGCATATATGCAGTCCATTCTTGACCAAAACGTCACTATGCCGTGCATGACTCTAGATTCCTGTCCCTGAAATTTTGAATAGAGATACATGGAGCAAGTCAGGCAGAGGGCAGCCTGGGGGTAATGCTGAAAGCCTGCTCAGTGAGAGGGGCACGGAGCAGCTGTGAGCGAGCCAAAGTCCCAAATGCGAAGAAGCCATGAGGCAGAGAAAAGATAACCACTATGAAGAATCCAGGTCAGAATGGGAGGAGAAAACGCACCCAGAGAAGCTAATCTGTGAGATTTTTTTTTTTTTTTTTTGCAACAGAAAGTGTCTAACAAAAACTACACTGTGTTGTTGATTTGTCTGGAAAATTTACACTTAAACCTGTGGATTTTGATGCCATGAGTGAGAAACTAATTCTGAGAGATTCCTCACACTCCCATCAACACATCCACCCTTCATCCTGGTGGGGCCTCAGACCAGAGTCCAAGCAGAGGCCAACATACCAAAGGTCTAAATATTTGAGTTATAAGTCAAGCCACCAAACTGTTAAATAAAACATATTTAACCCTCCTATCTTGATAAGGATAAGTGTATAAGTTAAAAGTACTCTTTCATTATGATCTGGAAGGCCAGGTTCCATTTAGAATACTTGGATGGAACTTTTGCTCAACTTTGAGGTGCCAAAGTTTAAAGGAAGATCATGATAGGCTGCAGCATGTTTAAAAGGTCTGAAGAAGAACCCAAAAAGCGCATTTGCTTGTCAGCCTCTAACAACTAGAATGTAAACACCATGAAGGCAAAGATACTTGTGTTGTTTGCAGCTATATCCTCGTGCCTAGAACACAGCCTGACACCTTGTAGGCATTCAGAGATATTTGTTGAGTTACTCTATGTTTTTTTCGAAGGTCTTTTTCTAGACCATGTATTTCTTTCACTGAAAGGGAAGTGCTGTAGGCAGCTGGGTAGTTTGGGGAAGCTGGTCGAGAATGAAAACAATTTGTGGTGGGTTTGCTGAGTGACTCGGAGAGAGCACAAACGCATTATGGTGACTTTGTGGTAGCCTGGGTTGAGACTGGGTGAAGAACTTCATGTCCTCAGTCACCGCATTTCCAATTCACCAAGCACGTGGGACTTTGAGGTATGAGCATGGCCTGAGTTTTTGTGAGTCATGTCTTTTGTTAGACCACGAAGAATGATAATATGAAACTGGGCTTTAAGCCATAGATTTTAGGACTGGAAGGAAACTTCGAAATTTTTAATTACCATGCAC